GGCTTCCTGAAGGAGGTGCCATTCTAAATTCTGATATTGATTAGGCTGTACACGTTTTGCAGGTAGTATTGAAAAACTTTTTCAGTTTGAGAAACACAGAGCGTCTTCTTCCCATTTTATTCTCCAATTCTAAATCTCTGCACATTCCATTATAGCAGTTTTGTTTGTCTTCCTGACCTGCCTTTTGAAATCTTCTGTTCAGCTCTTTTAGTTCAGCATCTCTTCCCTTTGTTTTCATTTTTCCATGTTCTAGTGCAATTTTCAGGGTCTCTCGTGACATCCGTTTGGTTTCTTATTTATCCTCTGTCTTTTTAGGGACCTTTTGCTCTCTTCATGGATGATATCCTTAATGTCATCCCACAACTCATCGGGTCTTAGATCAGTGATGTTCAATGCCTCAAACCTATTCATTTTTTAAATATACTTTTTTAAATTAATTTTATTGAAAGTTTAAAGACTTTGGATTTCCATTCATTCATTGTTGCACTTTTCTCCCTGCCCACCCCTATCCCCCAATTCACACTTCTCTTTGAAAAGTAAAATTCTTTTCATTGTTATACAATCCCTCCCCCCAAGTCTACTCCACCATGCAGACTTCGTTCTGGACTCCTGTCATGACAATAATACCTAACCCTATATCCCTTTTAAACAATTCTACCCTTCATATTTTTTAATACAGTGTACATTATTTATCCCCTCCTTCTCAGTCTCCCCCAAACCCCAATGTGTCAGTCCCATTTTACAACAGTGGCATTATGCAGTACTTGTCCTTTTGTGACTAAGATATTTCACTCAATATAATGTCCTCCAGGGTCACCCATTTTGTATAATATTTCATGAGTTCCTTTCCCCCCACCCCCAATACAGCTTAGTATTCCATTGTGTGAATATACCAGAGCTTCCCTTTCCATTCGTTTGTTGATGGGTACTTGGGTTGTTTCCAACTCTTTATATTGTCAACAAAGCAACAACAAACATGGCTGTGCATCAAACCTATTTTTAAGGTAACTTTTACATTCAGTAGAATAGACTCAAGATCATATTTTGGTTCTTAGGGACTTGTTTTCGTTTTCTTTAGCTTCAGTTTGAATTTACATCTGAGTAATTGATGGTCTGTTCTACAGTTGGCACCTGGCCGGTTTTTGACAGCTGACATTGTGCTTCTCTAATGATTTCTTCCATAGACATCGTCAATCTGATTCCTATGCAGTCCATCTGGGTCAGCATTTCTATTTCTCAACCTAGAAGAACTGAGAAACAATTTCAAGCCTTGAGTTGCAAAACTTAAAGCTGCTATGGGCAAAATTCTAAATGACTTAGGAAACATCACAAAGAATATAGAGGAATACCCAGAGTCACTGTACCAAAGAGAATTGCTGGAACAGAAGTATTTCAGAAAGCATCATATGATCAAGAGCCAATGGTAGTGGAGGAAGTTCAAGCTGCACTAAAGGTACTGACAAAAAAGTAAGGCCCCAGGAATTCATGGAATACCAATTGATATGGTTTACATAACATATGCAGCCCTGGATGTGCTCACCAGTCTATGTGAGGAAATTTGGAGGACAGCCGCCTGGCCAATTCACTGGAAGAGTCTGTGTTTGTTCCCATTCCCAAGAATGGTGATCCAACAGAACGTGGAAATTATTTAACAATAGTATTAACAGCAAGAAAACAAAGATACTCGCCTCTGGGACGATTGGAAGCATCATAATAGACGGTAAAGAGATTGAGATTGTTAACAGCTTTAGTTTGCTTGGCTCCACAATCATCACTCTTGTTACTGTTGTTGTTATGTGCCATTGAGTCACTTGCGACTCATAGCGACCCTATGTACAACAGCCCTAAACTCTGCTCTGTCCTGTGCCAATTGCATCATCTTCGATACACCCTTCCAATTACCCCAGTCACTGAATCAATCCACCTCATAGAGGGCCTTCCCTTCCTGCGCTGTCCCTCCACCTTACCAAGCATGATGTCCCTCTCCGAGGACCGGTCCCTCCTTACAACAAGTCCAAAGTATGTTAGACGGAGCCTCAGAATCCTTGCCTCCAAGGAGCTGCCCAGTTTGGATGAATCTGTTTGTTTTCCTAGCAGTCCCTCAGTACTCTTCTCCAGCACCACAGCTCAAAGGCATCAATTCTCCTTCTATCCTCCTTAGTCATTGTCCAACTCTCTGATGCATAACAAGTGATGGCAAAGACCACAGCCTGTATCAGACATACCTTAGTTTCCAGAGAGACACCATTGCTCTTCAGTACTTTGGAGAGGTCCCTAACAGCAGATTTTCCCATCGCGATACGTCTTTTAATTTCCTGGCTACTGGTGCTGAGAGTGTTGACTGTGGAGCCAAGCAAACTAAAGTGAACAATCTCAATCTCTTCACCATCCATCCTGATGCTGTCAATTGGCCCAGTGGTAAGAATCTTTGTCTTCTTGACATTGAGCCTCAATCCATATTGGAGGCTGCAGTCCTTGATCCTCTGCAGCAAGTGCATGAGGTCCTCCTCAGTTTCAGGGAGCAGGGTTGTGTCATCTGCATAACGCAGATTGTTAATAGATCTTCCACCAATCTTGACCCCACATTCCTCCTCACAGAGCCCAGCCTCCCGGATAATCTGTTCTGCATATAGGTTGAAAAGGTATGGAGACAAGACACATCCCTGGCGTACGCCCTTCCCAATTTTGAACCATGCAGTGTTTCCCTGCTCTGTCCTGACAACTGCCTCTTGGTCCAAGTATAGGTTTCGCATTAGCACGATCAAGTGTTCTGGGATTCCCATTCTTCTCAGAGTCAGCCACAGTTTGTTATGATCCACACAGTCAAATGCCTTTGCATAATCAATGAAACACAGATAGACATTCTTCTGGTATTCCCTGCTTTCAGCTAAGATCCATCTAACATCAGCTACAATATCCCTAGTACCACGACCCCTTCTAAACCCTGCCTGGACTTCTGGTAGTTCTCTGCTGATGTGCTGTTCCAGCCGTTTTTGGATAATCTTCAATAGAATCTCAAAAGATGATTTGCACTGGGAAAGTTGGCTCTCAAGGACCTCTCCAGATTAGTAAAGAGCAACACTCTCAATCTGGAGATTAAGATGTGCCTGAACCAGGCCATGGTCTTTGCAATTACTTGCGATGCATCAGAAAGCTGGAAAATGATGACGGATGATAAGAGAATTGAAGCCTTTGAGCTATGGTGCTGGAGAATAATGTTGAATATACCACGGACTGGTAGGAGAACAAACAGGTTTGTCCTAGAGAAAGTGAAAACAGGTTGCTCCTTGGAGGCAAGGATTCTGAAGCTCTGTCTGACGTACTTCGGATTTACAAGGAGAAACCAGTCCTTTAAGAGGAATATAACGCTTGGGAGGGTGGAGGAACAGCAGAAGAGAGGAAGACCCTCGATGAGATGGACTGACTCAGTGACTGGGGGTAGATGCGTCAGAGACAATAAGCTTGGCTCAGAAAAGAGCACGGTTCAGAGCTGTTGTACATAGAGTTGCTATGAATAGTATCCAACACCACTCAATAACGATTAAGAAGTTCAGAATGCATCTTGAGGGTATTAAACAAGTGAATGGTATGATCGGAAACGTTACAGAAGTAGCTTTATGGTTACCCTGAGAGCCTTGAAGGGAATAACTTTACAGTGTGTTGTGTGAAGTCCTGTGAGCAAGAATGCTGATATTTCTCTGGGCCAGGACAAGGACAGCGAGGAAGGTGGAAAGGATATAAAAATTAAACACAGATATCTGATTTCAATAAATGAATGGATAAATGAGGGTAGCTGGAAGGAGGGCACGTAGAGGAAATGGGAATACTTAATGCAAAGTTGATTACAACTCATGTTACCAAATATTTCTCCATAGTTAATGGGCTTGAACCTGAAGCTCCTTACCTTAGTGTCTTGGAGTCTAACTCTTTCATCAAAAGCATCAACATACTGGTGGCCTAGTGGCAGGAGGCTACACTGCAATCTCAGAGGTGCAGAGTTCAAATCCACCAGATGCTGTGCTGGAGAAGGGGGGGACAATCTCCTCCTGTAACAGTCAGATCCGATTTGACGGTACACATACAAAAATAATAAAATAAAATTTTGGGAGCTCTGGTGGCCTACTGGCAAGAAGCTGCACTGCAATATCAGAGGATCACGGTTCAAATCCACCAGATGTTCTGCTGGAGAAGGAGGGACAATCTCCTCCAGTACCTGTCAGATCCGATTTGA